AAGACAGTGTCCGTTATACCCGGAATAATGGGAATGTGTATGCTATTGTTTTGAATTGGGGTAATCAAGCCATAACATTGAAATCACTTTCCGACCAAAGTCACACGCTTGGAAAAGTGACCAGGGTTGAAATGCTGGGAAGTGATCATCCATTGACGTTTGAACAAAATGAAAAAGGACTATCCATTCAGCCTGCAAATGACCTGCAGCCATTGAGGGGACTGGCAGATCCATTACTTGCACACAACGTTCGGGTTTTTCGAATAACCCATGATAAAGGTTGGTTTAACGATGATGATCCCGGTGTGCGGGCGGCAGGATGGCTACGGCAGTGCAATCTCGGAACCGGTGATTTTAATAATGACCTGACCATAAGTGAAACGATGGGAGATACATGGACGAGTAAATTTAATGGAACGAGTTTATCTGTTATTTCTCCTAAAGAAACAGGTAATGGAAAGGTGGAGATTAAAATCGATGGACAATCAAGAGGGCTAGTCGATCTTTCCACCAATGGATCAAGGCTGGCTCAGCAAATTGTTTATAAGGTGAAAGGATTGCGGCCCGGAAAACATTCAATTGCTATTATTAATCGTAGTCAAGCAAGAGTAGCCGTCGACGCGCTGATCGTTCGATGAGTTACGGACAGCATCAATGATTTGTACTTACAGACCCTAAAATATTTGTATGCAACGAAAGTTTATTTTTTTATTCATCCTGCTACCCGTTTTTTCCTTTGGCCAGGCGTATAAGAAGCATTCCCTGCAAAAGGACCGCCTTTCAATTGAACTATCCGAAGGCATACTGAATATCGTGCCATTGACCGATAATTCAGTCCGTATAAAATGGGAAAAAGATAACACCAAAGAAGAACGGGAGTTTGTGCTCATTAATAAGACACCGACTCCAACATTTAAATTTTCAACGCAAGGTTCGAAACTAAAGATCACTACCCGCGTGATCACCGTTAGTTTTGATAAAGTGAGCGGCGTCATCGATTATGCCGATAACAAAACAGGAAAGATCTTTTTGAGTGAAACTGGTGGTAGCAGGAAGTTAAAACCCGATACTGTTTATGGGGAACCTTGTTTTGTTGCCGCGCAAACGTTCGATTCTCCAGCCAACGAATATTTATTTGGCCTGGGACAGTTCCAGGATGGACAGTACAACCTTCGAAACATCAGCAGGAAACTCATCCAGGTCAATTCCCAGATAGCCATT